GCGGCTCTCCCAGTCTCTTGAGTGGTTTTAGCTGAGTTAAAGAGTGACCAGTCTGTAAACATCACTGGGGCAGGGAAGCTCAACTCGAAGAACACGCCAGTCAACACCAAGCTTCAGTTGTGGTGGGGTTGTATTTTGTTGTTGTTGTTGTATTTGTTGGTTGTTTTTTTTAAGTTTTCTTCTTTATTTTTTCCTTCTTTTTTTCTTCTTCTTTTTTTCTTCTTCTTTTTTCTTCTTTTTTTTTTTGTGTGTGTTTTTTGGTTGTATTTGCTGTATTTGTTGGTTGATTTTTTGAAGTTTTCTTCTTTGTATTTCCTTCTTTTTTTCTTCTTATTTTTTTTCTTTTTTTCTTCTTATTTTTTTTTTTCCTTTCGTGTTGTTTTTTGTGTGTGTTGGTTTTTTTTCCTCTCCTTTTTTGTTGTTGTTCTTCGTTGTAAACACTTGAAAGACAAGAGCCCTGCAGCTCAGCAAGGGGTGTGGGGGGGTGGGCAGTGACCCCTCTCCCAGCGTGGGGGGCAGAGTCCCCGTTCTCCCCCTACTTGGTGGGGAGGAGCAGGGAGGGAAGGAGGGTGAAGATCTCCAAAAGGGAGATGGGAAAGGGGAGAAAAAAATTTCCCATTTCAGTCAGTGCAAAAAAAACCAGAGCAGAGCCCCCAGGGCGAGTCTGGGTGGGTGGGGAGGGTTGTTTTTCTTTTTTGGGGGGGTTTGCCGGTGAGAAATGCCACGTGCTCCGTTTGGCTGTCCCCCCGGCAGCTTTCCCCTTCGTTTTTTTGGGGTGAAAGGCCAAACATCATGGCAAGGTTTAGGATTTTTTTTTTTGTTGGCCGATGGTGTCCTCCAGGGCTCCCCCTGGTTGAAGCAGAAACTCTCCTGAGGACCAGCAGCTTGTGGAGGGGAGAGAGAGGAGCAGCTCCTTCCACTGTCTTCTCCTGGATGATGCTTCTTCTTTTATGTTTGAAATGAAACAAAACAAAACAACAAACCCAAACAAACAAACAAACAAAAAAAAGGAACCAAAAAAACAAGAAAACCGATTAAAAAAAAAAAATTCAGAATTAAAAAAAAAATAAATAAGAAATTTGCCGTTGTCCCAAGTAGATTCAAGTTTCTGGGTTTTATTTTTTGGGGTTTTTTTTTTTTGTCTTCTTGAGGAATTTAAAGTCAGCCCAAACCTCCAGGTGGGGCGGGG